GGAACATTAAAAAAAAAACACATAGTATGAAACTAATACCCAAGGACAGTGGAAACACAGGCCAGGAGGATGGTCCACGGTTGGAAGCCTGCCTCAGGTGCTGGGAGATAAAGAAGGAACCACTATGACAAAGATAGTTGAAAATCATCACTCTGGATAAGAACTGCATGCTTAAAGTAGGTAAGGGAACAAACACAATAACCTCTTAGTATCTGTATTGCCAACCATAATACCCCAAACTTGGGAGAGACAGCCTGCTCTAGAGTCATAGGCAAGCCGGGGGTAGGGGGGGTAGGAGGGAAACGGGGGTCATTGGTGGTGGGAAATGACCACTGATGCGGGGAGGGTGTTGGAACAGTGTAGGAGTAGAACCCCAACATGAACAGCTTTTAATTGTACCTCACTTATTTTTTTTAATGTTCTTTCTATCTTGCTGAAAATGGGGAGAAAAAAGGAATTTTTTAGAAAGTGGGAACCTGCATTTACATTTGCATAAACCACTTGCATATGTATAGGATAGGGTCAGTAAGTTTAACACTGGCTTGTTTGTGTAATTTGTGCCCATAGAGTTGTATAACCAACTGTTATAAAGGAATATATTCTTGACTATGGCATAACAAAATTTAAATGTAATTAAAGAAAAAGGCAAGTTTCTGCATTGCTCCTTTGTGTTTCTGTAGATTTCCCCATCATTTAAGGTTTTTTTTTGGTCCCAGAGATTGAATCGGAACCTCACATACACAGGCAGGCAGCTATCGGGCCACTGAGCTACATTCTGATTAGAAAGAAAGAATGTGTTTAATTGTTTCTGGAGGGAGAAAGATAAGTGAACTAAGCCAGGACCAAGAGATGGTATAGCTCTTGAGGGTGCATGTTTGTCATATACCTGCTCCAGATTCCATGACTGCCACCACACGATCCCCCCAGCATCTCCAGTGTAGCCCTGAGCACTGCAAGGTTGGCCCCAGTAATTCTGGCGCCACAGGGTTCCAGCACCACAGCATCCTGGGTAGTTTGTGTTGGACTGAGCTCAGCCTCCCTGGTTCTGGTTGGACTTGTCATAGGTCTCTTCTTTCCTTCCTGACTTTCTGTTCGATTGACCTATCCAGTCATAAGAGTGGCGTGGTAAAGTCCACCACTGCTGTTGTGTTATTGATGTGTTGCCTCAACTCTATTAGCAGGCATTTAGGTAAATTTTTTTTAATGTAGGAGTATTGCTGTTTATTCAGCCATTTTTAGTCTGATTGAATTGGACATGAACTCCATAGTTAGGTAAATTATTGATGCAGTATTTTTTCTATTTTTCTTGGTGAATTTTGTTGATTTTTGCCATTCAACATTTTTTATTTATTTTTTTATGAGTCCATTCAGTTTTCCCTGCAAAGCTGGTTTGAATGCAGCAATTATCTTCAGCTTTTGTTTATCTGAGCATATCTTATAATTTCTTATAATTTCTCAAATCTGAGTGATTTCAGGTTGCAAGGTAGAAGAGTCTTGAAGTTCCTTTCATTCAGTACTTTGAATATATCATTTCATTATCTTTTTACTTATAGAGTATCACTTGAGAAATTTGATGTCAATTTTATGTGTCTTCCTTATATTTAAAGGCCTTGCTTATTCCTTGCCATTTTTAGGAGTCTCTTACTCCCTTTCCTACATTTTGATAACTGTGTCTTGACGTTGTGCTATATGGGGTATATATTGTTTGGAGTTCCGTGGACCCCTGGATCTGTGCTCATGTCTTCCTCTTCTTCAGTGAAAGTTCTCAGCTACTGTCTTCTTCCACCAGCCATTTCAGTAATTCCTATGATATGGGGGTTCTTTCTCTTGCTATTAAAGAGCTTAAGCTTTTTTCATTCTTTTAAGATCTGTTTTCTGTTACCTCTGCTTTATTGATAGTGTTGTGTGCCTTGTTCTTGAGGTCTCTGATTTAATTTCTGACTTCTCTTATTCTGCTGCTCAGTTCTGCTGCTAAAGTTCTTGATCTTCGATTCTTCAGTGTTTTTCATCAAGTTTATTGACACTCTCTTCAGTGATGTCCTCAGGCCAGTGAACATGGAGAGGGTTGTTGCTTTACTGGAATCCCCAGGCAGTATCAAATGCTCTCTGCTCTAGGGCTTCCCTGGGCTTCTGTCCCCATGTGTTAATGTTGCTGAATTCCAAACAAATTTTTTGTTTGGTTTTCTTTTGTTTTAAATTTCTTTTGTTTTAAATTTTGTGCCCCCCCCCCCCACAAAGGAGAGAGAGAACAAAGGGAATGCCCTGCCACAGAGGCTAGGGAGGATGGCGGATGGGAGGAATACTGGGATCAGTGGTGGTGGAAAATGGGCACTGGTGGAGGGATGGGTACTCGATCATTGTATAATTGAAACCCAAGAACAAAAATTTGTAAGTCTACAACTGTACCTCCTGGTATTTCACTAATTTAAAAAAAAAATCCTGGTGCCCCATGGAAACTAAGGATGGAAGATTGAGTTCCAGATGTTCTGAGCTGTGATCTGGTTCTCCCATTCGCACTATCCAGTTCTAGCTAGGATTTCTTTAATCTCTGCCAGCCATGAATACCTTGTGAGAACTTTTTAAAGCTTGCAGGATCGGCTGGTTCCTGGGATTCTAACTCATGTGCACATAAATGACAGAGGGATTCGCGGCATCCGTGCCCTGTAGCCCCACACAGTGGCTGCCTGGACACTGGCCCGGGGCTCACAGTTGCTGGTGTCTGGCAGTTGATATGGTGTCAACAGTCCAACTGACATGGTCCATTACTGGGGATTATGGGCACATATGCCCAATCACAGTTGTTCAGCAAGCCCATCTTCATGGCTTTGGTTGCATTTTTGTCCTTCCCTATATCAGTTTTAGGCTGCAACTCTGAAACACAGTGTGGTAAGTGGCATTCCCCTCCAGGGTATCTAATAGCTGTGATAGCAGTAGGTGCTAGATTTAGAGTTGTCTGAGTTCTACATCAGCCAGTATGGTGTCAAATGCTTTAATGAAAATAATTCATTATTAGCTAAATATCTCCCAGGTCTTTTTTAAATTATGTGTGTATCAGTAAAATAAATAACAGTATAGCCTGTGTGTTTTAATGCACCATAAATTTTAGGTAATCATTAGCTTAAAAACACACTGTGTCTATTCTGCCTCATTAATTGTAAATACTTTGAGTAACTTCTTATAGATTTAGTTATGTTGTCATTGTTTTTACCTTGGATTGAAGAAAAAGCCCCACCACTCTCTGTATCTTCATCTCTGATACTAATATGAAACTACCATACCACAGAAATCTTGTATGACAGTGATCATTAAAAAGTGACATAGCATTTGTAAATTCACTTTACTAATGATACTTAAAGTCCATTTTATTGAAAAGCAAGTAAGAAACATTCTCAGTTATCATTATGAAACATCTGTTCTCCTTTTATCTAGCCCATACCTTACCTGATGGTTGGTGTCTAACTTTGGGGGTTCTTTTCTTCTTTTTTTTTAATGTTTTTTAAGCCACACCTGGCAGTGCTCAGGGGTTTCTCCTTGCTCTGCACTCAGGGATCACTCCTGGCAGGCTCCAGGAACCATATAGGATGCTGAGGATTGAAAGGCAGGCACTCTACTCTCTATACTAGCACTCTGAACCCTAAGGAGTGCAAATAAACTACCAACAGTAATTCTTACACATTTCTGGGTAAAGTATTAGTAGACACAGCTATATCAGATAAATTAATGCATTAACCTAATGGGCTGGAGCCATAGCACCGCGGTAGGGCGTTTGCCTTGCACGCAGCCAACATGGCCGACCCGAGTTTGATTCCTCCGCCCCTCTCGGAGAGCCCGGCAAGCTACCGAGTATCTCGCCCGCGCCCGCACAAGAGAGCCTGGCAAGCTACCCGTGATGTATTCGATATGCCAAACACAGTAACAACAAAAGTCTCCAATGGAGACGTTACTGGGCCCGCTCGAGCAAATCGATGAACAACGGGAGGACAGTGACAGTGAACCTAATGAAAAGAGTTAATGTCTTTTAGCATATTAGTTCTGTTTCTGGGAAAACTCTTGTGTATGTTCATAAAAGATTTGTATCAATATTTGTTTCAGTACCTCTTCATGAAAACAAAATAGAAACTTTTAGAAAAACGAATAGCCAATCTGACTTTCATATATAATGGAACATTTATAGCACCAAAAATTAATGAGCTAGGTTCTGTTATTTTGAGGTACAAGACATCTCAAACTCAGCAATGCGTGGAAACATGCACTCCTATCTGTTTAAATGCCTTATATACAACTGATACCATACACATGTGTAAGATTAAAAACATACATGAGAGAGAACAAGATACATTACACAGAATAAAGCACCAGCTTTACTTGCAACAACTCTTGTTCAGTACCTGGCACTACATATAATTCCCTGAGCACCATCGGGAATGGGCTTCTCCCCACCCCACCCACCCCCAGCCAGAAAAAAATATATAGACATGACATACATCAATTTTATGATAATGGTTACCTTGAGATCTGGTTAAAATTTTAACTGAACTTTATTATCTGAGGGAAAAACAATAATTTCAAAGCAAATATGAGAAAAAAATTATCTTTAGTAGGCACAAGGCCTATAGTGTTAGCAAAGACCACTCTTTTTCTTTTTCTATTTTCTTTCCAATGCCAGGGATCAAACCCTAGGTCTCATACATGTGAGATATTCACTCACCATTAAACCACATCCCCTATTCCATGTTTTCATGTTGAATATTCTTTAAAGCATTTCCCAGTTACAAGAAAATATTAAATCAAATGCTTGCTATTTTATGTAGAGAGTCAGAACTTGATCATCAGTGATTGGAAATTATAGGAAGCTTTAAAAAATGTTTATTGAATGTCATCTCTTTTTTCTAATCTATTCTCTCTTCTAAACCCCATAAAAATTGCCATGGATGATCTAGAAGTTGAATTGGTTGAAAATAAAAGAGGGTTTTATAAAAGTTTTTTTTTTTGTTTTATAGGGAAAACGTCAGAGAGAGGCTCATTTTCTCTGTACAGCAGAGAAACCGGATTACCAGGCTGTCAAGTAAGTTTAATAAATATGAAAACAGTGAGATGATTTTTAACACAGGCTTTAATTAAAAGAGGTAGTAGAAATAATTTATTTCACCATTATTTGTGCCTTTAATTTGTGGTTATTACAGTGGTGTACTTTTTTCAGCAATTATGCATTTTTTTTTCTTTGTTTAAAATCGTTTTCTTTAATTCACTGGATTTCTATCATCAAATGTTTTATAACCCACATCTATTCTATTGGAAGCAGAGTAGCAGTTATCATTCTACCCCCTTTCCAAAATGTTTTTATTTCTAAAATAAAAATTATATGAATGATATTACCACACCATATTTGATGGGGTTCAGACAGTAGGCAACAAATCATAGAGGAAAAAATATATGTGTGTGTATGTAATATATATATATATACATACATACATACATACATGAGCCTCTAGCAGAGCCTGGCTAGCTATACGTGGCATGTTCAGTATGCCAAAAACAGCAACAATAACAGATCTCATTCCCCTGACCCTGAAAGAGCTTCCAATACAGCAGTTTTTGGAAAGATGAGTAAGGAGAGGCTGCTCAAATCTCAGGGTTGGGACGAATGGAGACGTTACTGGTGCCTGCTCAAGTAAATTGATGAACAACCGGATGACAGTGATACAGTGATGAATGTTATCATCTCTCAAGATATATTATTGTACGTAATATTTTTGGACTGATGGTTTGTAAGCATGAAAATTGAAATCACTGATAAAGGGGAACTGTTTTACTTTCATTTCAATCCTATAGCTAACCTTATTGGGGGGATAATAATCTTTGATTAGAAAACTTCTGTTCAACTCTTTTATATTCCCTAGCATAAATGTTGCATTTCTACTGCTGTAGTTTCTGCTTTTTCCTTTCCGCCATAGGTTTAAATTCAGAATCCTGAAAACACAGTTAACATGCCCATTCCCATCAGGGCCAAAAATGGTATGAAAGAAAGGTAGAATATATTCAGCTCATTTCCTGCTGTCTGATACTTTTTCCAGAAATCTGCTCTAATTTCAGACAGGAGCACATGATTCATTTTTAACTATCAATTTTAACAATAATGCTTTATTATATATCCTATATACTCTGGTTTCTCTTCAGATCACATAAATCCTATAATATATAATAAATTATATTTATTATATATTATAGTCCAAGAATAAATATTTAGATCCCATCTTTGCATTTATTTCCTCATTTCAGTAACAGAATTAGCAGTTTCAGCTTCAAGCACTTTGTAGGTCTCTGAAGATTAAATCTTTTGTTTTCGTGGTGGCATTTTGTTTGACCAATAAATGCATATATATTTTTTTTCAATTTATATAACCAACAGAGCAAAACTTACTTTGAATTCTTAATTTTAGGATCAGGGCCAGAGAGAGTACAGGGGTTAAGGTAGTTGCCATACACGAAGCCAGCCCTGTTTCAATCCCCTGGGCATCACCAGGTGTGGCCCAAAATCAAGCAGAAATTTGAGTTCTCTCAAGCTGTGCTCTGAGGCACTACACAGCCATCACAGTGGTACTGAGGGGTCCATGCAGTGCCTGGGATCAAACTCAGGACTCTGAACATGCAAAGCTTGATAGGCTCCATCCCTTTGAGTATATCTCCTGTTAATTTTGGGATTTGGTTTCAGATCAGACCCCACCTGGTGGTACTCAGAGGTTAGTCCTATCTCATTTCATGGTCCTCCATATGCACTCCAGACCTTTCAGTGAGCTATCCAATCCCAGAAATACTATTTTTAAAAGACTAAAATATTTGAGAGTTCTATTAACAATAATGTTAATATTGTTTAGGAAAACTTATTACAAGCTCTGTAAAATTAAAGCTACTTGTAATAATCCATAATGCTTTTATGTATATCTGTGAACACTAATAATGCTTATATTAGTGAATTTCCTTTTTTTTTTTCTTTTTTTAATTTTATTGAATCACCATGAGATAGTTACAAACTTTCACGTTTGGGTTACAATCACAATCACAATGATCAAACACCCATCAAACACCCATCCCTCCAACGATGCACATTCCCCACCACCAATCTCCCCAGTGTACCCCCCTTCCTACCCTCCCCCTGCCTTCGTGGCAGACAATATTGTATTAGTGAATTTTCAACTTGTACTTTTTTAATTCCCCCCGGGAAAAATATTGCTATTTAGTTAGAATCATAATTTTATGATTTTGCAAGATAAATTTTGACAGTTTTTGCCAAAGATCAATAGGTGTATATACTATAATCATTTTTGGGCTCGAGCGATAGCACAGCAGTAGGGCGTTTGCCTTGCACGCAGCCAACATGGCCAACCCGAGTTCGATTCCTCCGCCCCTCTTGGAGAGCCCGGCAAGCTACCAAGAGTATCTCGCCCGCACAGCAGAGCCTGGCAAGCTACCTGTGATGTATTCAATATGCCAAACACAGTAACAACAAAGTCTCACGATGGAGACGTTACTGGGCCCGCTCGAGCAAATCGATGAACAACGGGAGGACAGTGACAGTGACTATAATTATTTTATTAAAAATATATATTTTTTGTTTTAAACCTAGGTACAAAGCATTCTAATAACATTTGCTAAAATTTCCTAAACACTGAGTTGCCTGTTGAATGCAGCATCACATTTAATCCTTGTAAGAGCACCCTTGTGGATTAAAATCTTTGTGGATTTTAAAATGTGTGTTCTGCAGGGGAGTATTAAGTTAGTTGCTAAAGCCATACATGTAGTGAACAGCGAGCTTAAACTTAAGCTTCATAAGTTCATAAGCTTCAAGTTACATTTTTATCTAATGTAACTTCGCTATAGCATAAGAATCCCTTTCAATTCATAGTATATGTCCTTTCCTCTCCCATTCTTAATTGGTTGGTTGAGAAGTCACCTAGAAATTTATATTTGAGGTTGGAGCTACACCTGGTTCTGTTCAGGGACTACTCCCAGCTCAGGATTCATTCCTGGCATTGCTCAGGAAACCATACAGTGCTGAGATTTAAAAAAAAAAAAAACCCAGACCTGTATGCAAAGCATGTATCCCAACCCACTGAGCTCCTCTCTCCAGCCTGAAGTTCATTTTATCCTCCCAAGGGGTTACACCATTCTTCGGAGTTACTCAAAACCAGGTTGATGTGTGGAGTGGACACCTATTGTAACTTCTGTTACAAGGGCAAAAGAGTTAACTCTGTGGGCGGAGAACATACTTTGTGTACTAGAAGTCCAGATTTAATTCCAGGCACTGCATGATTCCCTGAGCACTGCCAGAAGTACTGCTGTCCCATCACCAGAGACCAGCATGTCACTGTGAATAGCCCTGGGGCACTTCCAGGTATGGGCCAAAAGAAAAACAGAAGAGTCAGCTCCCCAGTCAAAAAAAACTTTAATATTTTGTGCCCAGGATATAATAGATATTAAATTGATTAAATCATATGCTATACTTGATCATAGCTGAAAGTACAAGAAGCAGAGGGATTTTTTTTAACAAGTGCCCTAGGTGATTCTCATTCATGAAGCGAGGATTAAGCTTTGAGAACTTCTGTATATCTCAAGTACAGGCATGTACGGAGCATTTAAAAAAATAGCTTGTAAACATACAGAAGAAATCAGGCAAGAGAATGATATTACTAAAATATATGGAATATAAAATAATAACATTGCTATATACAAGATTAAAGCATAATCTGATGAGAGAAAGATTTGATTTTGGAGAATTCACAAGAGTTTGAGGACATGAGCCCTGGAGTAAGTCCCAGCTTCAGCAGAGAGGAGAGAAAATTATACCATAGCAAGAACAGATGGCATCAATGAGGAATAGAGGACACTTATAACGTTTAAAAGGGTTCTCTTTGTCAATTATTGTTGCTACTTTCTTAGCTCTACCTTTATTGTAGTTGCTAGGAGAAATTATGATAAATGGAACTTAGCTGAGTTTAGTCCTAACAAGTAAACTCAGAAAATTCAAAAGTTAAAAAGATGCATCACTCCTATACAAAGAAAACTGCCTGCCAAACAACATTACTAATAGTGGGTTAGAAATGGAGGGAAAGACACTGAAACAAAAAATTGGCTGCTATGTTGTCTTACCTATTCAGAGACAATACAATCATTTAAAGTTAGGAGGTGGTGTGGGGATACCCAGAGATGCTTAGGGGCATCAGTCCCCTGGCTTTGTGCTCAGGGGTCACTCCTGGCAGTGCTTGGAAGACTGTGTGCTGTGCAAGGGATTAAAAAGGGAGCATAACAATCTTAACCACACAGTGATAGTCAAAGGGAATATAGTGACTGCAAAATTATATCCAAACTCCACTTTGAAACCAGTTTTTCTTCAACACAATTCCCCAAGGAACATTAACTCTGCTATTAATGTACATAAAATGCTGCTGACATACTGCAAAATTCAGGCTAATTTAATAATGCCTGATGGGCCTTACTTCATGTTAAGATGATGTAATATAATATGTTGCTAAATGAGTCTTCTCATATTAACCTTCACGGCAATCAAATAACTGATGAGCCATTAAAAGGAAGCTGGGATAGCAGTATTACTGGAACCATTGATAGATAATTCTGCAATTGAATTTTTAATTGATTCAACACAGAGAAAAGGCATCTTTAAGTAGGTATTTAGCTTTAAAAAGCGCTGCCATGAAGTAAAAGATATTTGGGAAGAGGGGGGCCCCCCAAGACTGCTGAGGAGTCCTACAAGCCCCACAGGTGATTCTCAGCCAACTGTGCCCTAGGTTTAATGCACAGGCCCAAGAATGCACTGCTGCATGGGCCCTGCAGTGCTGGGGATACTGGGACAACCTCTGATGCTGGGTGCCTCCAAGGGTCGCACCCAGCAGTGCTCAGGGTACCACGTGTGCTGGGAATCCAACTCTTAGGAGCATGCTAGGAATGTGCCTCAACCACTGCACCATCTCCAGGTCCCATAAAGCATCTTTGTATAATTAGAATATTTCTCATTGATACATGTAAAACAAACATTCAAGTCATTTGTGT